CATTGTCTTCAGTTAGTACATCCACGTTCTACTGCCCATTGTCTTCAGTAGGTACATCCACGTTCTACTGCCCATTATGTTCAGTGAGTACATCCACGGTCCATTGCCCATTATCTTCAGTAGGTACATCCACGTTTTACTGCCCATTGTTTTCAGTAGGTACATCCACGTTCTACTGCCCATTGTGTTCAGTGAGTACATCCAAGTTCTACTGCCCATTGTGTTCAGTAGGTACATCCACGGTCCATTGCCAATTGTCTTCAGTAGGTACATCCACGTTCTACTGCCCATTGTCTTCAGTTGGTACATCCACGTTCTACTGCCCATTGTGTTCAGTACGTACATCCACGTTCCACTGCCCATTGTGTTCAGAAAGTACATCCACGTTCTACTGCCCATTGTGTTCAGAAGGTACATCCACGTTCTACTGCCCATTGTGTTCAGTAAGTACATCCACGTTCTACTGCCCATTGTGTTCAGTTAGTACATCCACGTTCTACTGCCCATTGTGTTCAGTAGGTACATCCACGTTCTACTGCCCATTGTGTTCAGTGAGTACATCCACGTTCTACTGCCCAATATGTTCAGTGAGTACATCCACGGTCCATTGCCCATTGTCTTCAGTAGGTACATCCACGTTTTACTGCCCATTGTTTTGAGTAGGTACATCCACGTTCTGCTGCCCATTGTGTTCAGTTAGTACATCCTCGTTCTGCTGCCCATTGTGTTCAGTGAGTACATCAACGTTCTACTGCCCATTGTGTTCAGTACGTACACCCACGTTCTACTGCCCATTGTGTTCAGTACGTACATCCACGTTCTACTGGCCAATGTGTTCAGTTAGTACATCCACGTTCTACTGCCCATTGTGTTCAGTAAGTACATCCACGTTCTAGTGCCCATTGTGTTCAGAAGGTACATCCACGTTCTACTGCCCATTGTGTTCAGTAGGTACATCCACGTCTACTGCCCATTGTGTTCAGTGAGTACATCCACGTTCTACTGCCCATTATGTTCAGTGAGTACATCCATGGTCCATTGCCCATTGTGTTCAGTAGGTACATCCACGTTCTACTGCCCATTGTCTTCAGTTAGTACATCCACGTTCTACTGCCCATTGTCTTCAGTAGGTACATCCACGTTCTACTGCCCATTATGTTCAGTGAGTACATCCACGGTCCATTGCCCATTATCTTCAGTAGGTACATCCACGTTTTACTGCCCATTGTGTTCAGTTAGTACATCCTCGTTCTGCTGCCCATTGTGTTCAGTGAGTACATCTACGTTCTACTGCCCATTGTGTTCAGTAGGTACATCAACGTTCTATTGCTCATTGTGTTTAGTAGCTACATCCACGTTCTACTGCCCATTGTGTTCAATAGGTACATCCACGTTCTACTGCCCATTGTGTTCAGTACGTACACCCACGTTCTACTGCCCATTGTGTTCAGTACGTACATCCACGTTCTACTACCCAATGTGTTCAGTTAGTACATCCACGTTCTACTGCCCATTGTGTTCAGTAAGTATATCCACGTTCTACTGCCCATTGTGTTCAGTTAGTACATCCACGTTCTACTGCCCATTGTGTTCAGTAGGTACATCCACGTTCTACTGCCCATTCTGTTCAGTGAGTACATCCACGTTCTACTGCCCATTATGTTCAGTGAGTACGTCCATGGTCCATTGCCCATTGTGTTCAGTCGGTACATCCACGTTTTACTGCCCATTGTTTTCATTTGGTACATCCATGTTCTGCCGCCCATTGTGTTCAGTTAGTACATCCACGTTCTGCTGCCCATTGTGTTCAGTGAGTACATCAACGTTCTACTGCCCATTGTGTTCAGTAGGTACATCAACGTTCTACTGCTCATTGTGTTCAGTAGGTACATCCACGTTCCACTGCCCATTGTGTTCAATAGGTACATCGACGTTCTACTGCCCATTGTGTTCATTACGTACACCCACGTTCTACTGCCCATTGTGTTCAGTACGTACATCCACGTTCTACTGCCCATTGTGTTCACTTAGTACATCCACGTTCTACTGCCCATTGTGTTCAGTAGATACATCCACGTTCTACTGCCCATTGTGTTCAGTAGGTACATCCAGGTTCTACTGCCCATTGTGTTCAGTAGGTACATCCACGTTCTACTGCCCATTGTGTTTAATAGGAACATCCACGTTCTACTGCCCAATGTGTTCAGTAAGTACATCCACGTTCCACTGCCCATTGTGTTCACTTAGTACATCCACGTTCTACTGCCCAATGTGTTCAGTAAGTACATCCACGTTCCACTGCCCATTGTGTTCAGTGAGTACATCCACGTTCTGCTGCCCATTGTGTTCAGTAGGTACATCCACGTTCTGCTGCCCATTGTGTTCAGTAGGTACATCCACGTTCTACTGCCCATTGTGTTCAGTAGGTACATCCACGTTCTGCTGCCCATTGTGTTCAGTAGGTACATCCACGTTCTACTGCCCATTGTGTTCAGTAGGTACATCCACGTTCTACTGCCCATTGTGTTTACTAGGTACATCCACGTTCTACTGCCCATTGTGTTCAGTAGGTACATCCACGTTCTACTGCCCATTGTGTTCACTATGTATATCAACGTTCTACTGCCCATTGTGTTCAGAATGTACATCCACGTTCCACTGCCCATTGTGTTCAGTAAGTACATCCACGTTCCACCGCCCATTGTTTTCAGTAGGTACATCAACGTTCCACTGCCCATTGTCTTCAGTAGGTACATCCACGTTCCACTGCCCATTGTGGATAGTAGGTACATCCAGGTTCTACTGCCCATTGTGATTAGTAGGTACATCCAAGGTCCACTGCCCATTGTGTTCAGTAGGTACATCCACGTTCTACTGCCGATTGTGTTCAGTTAGTACATCCACGTTCCACTGCCCATTTTGTTTAATAAGTACATCCTGCTGCTGAAAAATGATATTCGGCTCCTGCCTTTTCCTGTTTGTGGTGCATGGAATTAAGCAAGCCTCGTGTATTTTGGTTAATGGCAACTAAGATTTTTCAGTTTGCCTACAGGTTGGAATTTCCATCTTTGCAAAGGAAACACTGCCCTAACTCAACTTGTACCTTTCTTGTTTTAGTGGCCAGGCTGTTGATCAAATCAAAGTCAATGTCGGCAACCACACAACCATAGCATCAACCACGCAGCTCAGCGTCAAGAGCGTCACGGTCCATGAGAACTACAACACTCAAACTACAGGTAACAATCACGGCCCATGAGAACTACAACAATCAAACTACAGGTAATAATCACAGCCCATGACAGCTACAACATTCAAACTACGGGTAACAATCACGGCCCATGAGAACTACAACAATCAAACTACAGGTAACAATCACATCCCATGAGAACTACAACACTCAAACTACAGGTAACAATCACATCCCATGAGAACTACAACACTCAGACTACAGGTAACAATCACGGCCCATGAGAACTACAACACTCAAAGCTACAGGTAACAATCTCAGCCCATGAGAACTACAACACTCAAACTACAGGTAACAATCACAGCCCATGAGAACTACAATAATCAAACTACAGGTGACAATCACATCCCATGAGAACTACAACAATCAAACTACAGGTAACAATCACAGTCCATGAGAACTACAACACTCAAACTACAGGTAACAATCACGGTCCATGAGAACTACAACACTCAAACTACAGGTAACAATCACGGTCCATGAGAACTACAACACTCAAACTACAGGTAACAATCACGGTCCATGAGAACTACAACACTCAAACTACAGGTAACAATCACGGCCCATGAGAACTACAACAGTCAAACTACAGGTAATAACCACGGCCCATGAGAACTACAACACTCAAACTACAGGTATTAATCACGGCCCATGATAACTACAACAATCAAACTACAGGTAATAATCACGGCCCATGAGAACTACAACACTCAAACTACAGGTAACAATCACAGCCCATGAGAACTACAACAATCAAACTACAGGTGACAATCACAGCCCATGAGAACTACAACACTCAAACTACAGGTGACAATCACAGCCCATGAGAACTACAGCACTCAAACTACAGGTAATAACCACGGCCCATGAGAACTACAACAATCAAACTACAGGTAACAATCACAGTCCATGAGAACTACAACAATCAAACTACAGGTAACAATCACAACCCATGAGAACTACAACAATCAAACTACAGGTAACAATCACAGCCCATGAGAACTACAACAATCAAACTACAGGTAACAATCACAGTCCATGAGAACTACAACAATCAAACTACAGGTAACAATCACAGTCCATGAGAACTACAACAATCAAACTACAGGTAACAATCACAGCCCATGAGAACTACAACACTCAAACTACAGGTAATAACCACGGCCCATGAGAACTACAACAATCAAACTACATCTAATAATCACGGCCCATGAGAACTACAATAATCAAACTACATCTAATAATCACGGCCCATGAGAACTACAACAATCAAACTACAGGTAATAATCACGGCCCACGAGAACTATGTACAACACTCTAACTACATCTAATAATCACGGCCCATGAGAACTACAATAATCAAACTACAGGTAACAATCACGGCCTATGAGAAAAACAACAATCAAACTACATCTAATAATCACGGCCCATGAGAACTACAATAATCAAACTACATCTAATAATCACGGCCCATGAGAACTACAACAATCAAACTACAGGTAATAATCACGGCCCATGAGAACTATGTACAACACTCTAACTACATCTAATAATCACGGCCCATGAGAACTACAATAATCAAACTACAGGTAACAATCACGGCCTATGAGAAAAACAACAATCAAACTACAGGTAACAATTGCCGTCCAAACTAGGTCTAATTCAAAAACATCCTACATCCAATATTGTTATTATTTTTTCGAAAATGCCGTTGAACTCAGATTGTTCATATACGAGCTTGCTTACGTTACAGCCAATGATGTAGCGATCCTGAAGGTCGACCCCATTGACTTCAACACCATCCCCAACACCGCACCAGCCTGCCTCGCCACCGCCGACTACGCTCTGACAGGACAAGACTGCACTGCAGTTGGAGTTGGAACCACGAGTTATGGTAAGCCCACAATGTCGTTATTATGGTTTTATGTGGCTCAGTCGGACTTTGGTCTGAAGAAGCCATTAGGCGTGCCAGAAACCAACCTGTGATCATTGGCTCGGATCCAAGGTGGACCTGATTATCTTTGGTTTGTCGGCACCTCACTCGTTTCACCAGAAGTGGTAAACATCTAAGACCGGCACCACTTTAGTATATGATCACCGACGATGTCAAGGATTGGCTTGACGTAATGAGTTTTACTTGTGTCCGCTAGGTGGCCAGCAGCCAGATAATTACCTCCTGCAACAAGTGTCCGTTCCAACTCAGGACGGCAACACCTGCGCCAAAAACAACAGCATCCTCGTCCAGATGACCGACCCCAACAACCAGATCTGTGCTGGTCAAGCGGGCAACGATTCCTGCCAGGTCAGTTTAGGCGGCACTGACACAACAAAAAATGAGGCTTTAAGCAGAGGTTTCCAATGATTATGTAAAGAGTCTTGTCGTTTCTATTTAGGGCTATGTAACTAGTGTTACCTGTGGTGTAAACAGTATGCAACCCGTACTAATGTTGTAGATGAAGGGTGCAATAGTGGAGTTCTGTCTTTGGTTTTATGTAGGTCGTATACTAGTACTTACAGTGAGTCCACAAGGTCATGGGTACTTCCCTAACCATTTCGATGCTGTATATGGATACCTTTTGTGTAATTTCAAAGAGGCGAATGTGACTATGTTCGATCACCGATGTATGGAGCATATTTTATGGAGTAGAAATGTTGCCTGCATTGGGGATATCTTAAGGTATATGTCTACGTGGGGGATATGTAAGGTTGGCTGTGTTTATGAGGGGATGTGTAAAGGTGACAGTATTTTTGTGAAATGATGTAAATGTGACTATACTTGCGTGGCATGTGCATATGACCATGCTTGCTTGGGTATCTATAAAGGTGACCGTAATTGCCTAGGTATATATAAAGATGGATGTGATTACCTGGGTATATATAAAGGTGGCTGTGTTTGCCTGGGTACATGTAAAGATGACTGTGTTTACCTGGGTATATATAAAGGTGGCTGTGACTGCCTGGGTATATGTAAAGATGACTGTGTTTACCTGGTTATATATAAAGGTGGCTGCGTTTCCCTGGGTATATGTAAAAATGACTGTTTTGACCTGGGTATATGTAAAGGTGACTGTGTTTACCTGGTTATATATAAAGATAACTATGATTACCTGGGTATATATGAAGGTGTCTGTGTTTGCCTGGGTATATGTAAAGGTTACTGTGACTGCCTGGGTATATTTAAAGGTGACTGTGTTTACCTGGGTATATATAAAGGTGGCTGTGACTGCCTGGGTATATGTAAAGGTGACTGTGTTTACCTGGGTACATGTAAAGGTGGCTGTGTTTGCCTGGGTACATGTAAAGATGACTGTGTTTACCTGGGTATATATAAAGGTGGCTGTGACTGCCTGGGTATATGTAAAGATGACTGTGTTTACCTGGTTATATATAAAGGTGGCTGTGTTTGCCTGGGTATATGTAAAAATGACTGTTTTGACCTGGGTATATGTAAAGGTGACTGTGTTTACCTGGTTATATATAAAGATAACTATGATTACCTGGGTATATATGAAGGTGGCTGTGTTTGCCTGGGTATATGTAAAGGTTACTGTCACTGCCTGGGTATATTTAAAGGTGACTGTGTTTACCTGGGTATATATAAAGGTGACTTTGATTACCTGGGTATATATAAAGATGACTGTGTGTGCCTAGGAATTTATAAAAGTGACTGTGATTACCTGGGTATATATAAAGGTGACTGTGATTACCTGGGTATATATAAAGGTGACTGTGATTACCTGGGTATATATAAAGGTGACTTTGATTACCTGGATATATATAAAGATGACTGTGTGTGCCTGGGAATATATAAAGGTGACTTTGTTTGCCTGGGTATATATAAAGGTGACTGTGATTACCTGAGTATATATAAAGGTGACTGTGATTGCCTGTGTATATAAAAAGGTGACTGTGATTGCCTGGGTATATATAAAGATGACTGTGATTGCCTGGGTATATATAAAAGTGGCTGTGACTGCCTGGGTATGTGGGAAGGTGACTGTGTTTACCTGGGTATATATAAAGGTGACTGTGATTGCCTGGGTATATATAAAAGTGACTGTGATTACCTGGGAATATATAAAGGTGACTGTGTTTACCTGGGTATATATAAAGGTGACTGTGTTTACCTGGGTATATATAAAGGTGACTGTGTGTGCCTAGGAATATATAAAGGTGACTGTGATTACCTGGGTATATATAAAGGTGACTGTGATTACCTGGGTATATATAAAGGTGACTTTGATTACCTGGGTATATATAAAGATGACTGTGTGTGCCTGGGAATATATAAAGGTGACTGTGTTTGCCTGGGTATATATAAAGGTGACTGTGATTACCTGGGTATATATAAAGGTGACTGTGATAGCCTGGGTATATATAAAGATGACTGTGTGTGCCTGGAAATATATAAAGGTGACTGTGTTTGCCTGGGTATATATAAAGGTGACTGTGTTTACCTGGGTATATATAAAGGTGACTGTGTTTACCTGGGTATATATAAAGGTGACTTTGATTACCTGGATATATATAAAGATGACTGTGTGTGCCTGGGAATATATAAAGGTGACTGTGTTTGCCTGGGTATATATAAAGGTGACTGTGATTACCTGGGTATATATAAAGGTGACTGTGATTGCCTGTGTATATAAAAAGGTGACTGTGATTGCCTGGGTATATATAAAGATGACTGTGATTGCCTGGGTATATATAAAAGTGGCTGTGACTGCCTGGGTATGTGGGAAGGTGACTGTGTTTACCTGGGTATATATAAAGGTGACTGTGATTGCCTGGGTATATATACAGATGACTGTGATTCCCTTGGTATATATAAAGATGACTCTGTGTGCCTGGGAATATATAAAGGTGAATGTGTTTGCCTGGGTATATATAAAGGTGACTGTGATTACCTGGGTATATATAAAGGTGACTGTGATAGCCTGGGTATATATAAAAGTGGCTGTGACTGCCTGGGTATGTGGGAAGGTGACTGTGATTACCTGGGTATATATAAAGGTGACTGTGATTACATGGATTTATATAAAGGTGACCGTGTTTACCTGGGTATATATAAAGGTGACTGTGGTTGCCTGGGTATATATGAAGGTGACTGTGTGTACCTGGGAATATATAAAGGTGACTGTTTGCCTGGGTATATATAAAGGTGACTGTGATTACCCGGTATATATAAAGGTGACTGTGATTGCCTGGGCATATATAAAAGTGGCTGTGACTGCCTGGGTATTTGGGAAGGTGACTGTGTTTACCTGGGTATATATAAAGGTGACTGTGATTACCTGGGTATATATAAAGGTGACTGTGATTACCTGGGTATATATAAAGGTGACTGTGTTTACCTGGGTATATATAAAGGTGACTGTGATAGCCTGGGTATATATAAAAGTGGCTGTGACTGCCTGGGTATGTGGGAAGGTGACTGTGATTACCTGGGTATATATAAAGGTGACTGTGATTACCTGGGTATATATAAATTTGACTGTGATTACCTGGGAATATATAAAGGTGACTTTGTGTGCATGGGAATATATAAAGGTGACTGTGTTTACCTGGGTATATATAAAGGTGACTGTGATTGCATGGGAATATATAAAGGTGAATGTGATTGCCTGGGTATATATAAAGATGACTGTGTGTGCATGGGAATATATAAAGGTGACTGTGTTTACCTGTGTATATATAAAGGTGACTGTGATTGCCTGGGAATATATAAAGGTGACTGTGATTGCCTGGGTATATATAAAGGTGACTGTGTTTGCCTGGGTATATATAAAGGTGACTGTGATTACCTGGGTATAAATAAAGGTGACTGTGACTGCCTGGGTATATATAAAGATGACAGTGTTTGCCTGGGTATATATAAAGGTGACTGTGATTGCCTGGGTATAAATAAAGGTGACTGTGACTGCCTGGGTATATATAAAGATGACTGTGTTTGCCTGGGTATGTGGAAAGATGACTGTGTTTGCCTGGGTATGTGGAAAGATGACTGTGTTTAACTGGGTATAAATAAAGTTGACTGTGACAGCCTGGGTATGTGGAAAGGTGACTGTGTTTGCCTGGGTATAAATAAAGATGACTGTGTTTGCCTGGGTATGTGGAAAGATGACTGTGTTTTCCTTGGTATGTGGAAAGATGACTGTGTTTGCCTGGGTATGTGGAAAGATGACTGTGTTTGCCTGGGTATAAATAAATGTGACTGTGACTGCCTGGGAATATATAAAGATTACTTTGTGTGCCTGGGTATATATAAAGGTGACTGTGATTACCTGGGTATATATAAAGGTGACTGTGATTACCTGGGTATAAATAAAGATGACTGTGACTGCCTGGGTATAAATAAAGGTGACTTCGACTGCCTGGGTATGTATAATGGTCATTGCCTGGATATATTTATAAAGGAGGTGCTTTGTGTGTATTGTTATTGGCACTTCGGGCACTCGTGAAGAGTAAACTCCCAGTGGTGAGTGCTGGGTAAAGCTACTGGAGGTTCTACTATATTGATCAAGCAAGGCATCATCCATAGCACTGTTCCACTCAGTACAAATCTTCAAGCTGTGGCTGTCCGACTTACATTGTACATTGCACATACTCCTTGTATATTCCTCCTTCGAATACTCTTCAGCAGGCTGATCTTCAGAATCCCTGTATCATCATGGACGATTTAAATGAGCATAACCCTTTATGGGGAAGTGCAAGTACAAACAATAAAGGGAAAGTCATTCAAGATTTTGCATCTGATAATACTTATGTATGTTTAATGACGATTCAAGCACTTATTTGCATCCAGCCACAGGAACTTATTCTGCACTTGATCTGTTCCTCACTGATTCAGCTATTTACAATGAATTTGAGTAGTCCGTAAATGACGACCTGGTGGAAGTGATCACTTCCCTACTGTTCTAAAAGCTGTACAACCGGATGATGATCCACTTTCATTGAGGTGGAATTTTACACTGGCAAATTGGTCCTTGGTTGAATTATTATGTACTGAACAAATAAAGCCTGGCAATTTCAAAAATGTACCAAATACCATACAATTGTTTTCGGCTCAACTTAATAATATTGCTGACCAAACAATTCCTAAGTCCTCTGCAAATCCTCATATTCGTAAACCATGGTTTAATAACGACTGCAACCAAGCGTAGGAAAGTGTAGGAAGAAAGCAGAAAACTATTTCAGCAAACACCCTACTGTTCATAATTTGAATAATGTTAAAATTACTAGTGCCAAAGCACGACGTGCTTATAAGCAAAATAAGCGCCATCTTGCAGGAACTATGTCTCCAATACTAACTCACGGACACCAATGTCCAAAGAATGGAACATGGTTAAAAAATAAAAGGCAAAGGTTCAAAATCGTCTGTAGACCATCTTAAAGACGGTGACAAATTTATAACTGATAAAATTGATATTGCAAATATTGCGAAACTCTTGCCGAAACTTTTCCATTATCAAATTATGTACCTGAATTTCAGAGATATCAGAAACATCAGGAAAAGAAAAAAGTTAATTTTGATTCTGGTGAATGGTGAAGATTACAATGAAGTATTTTCATTGCATGAGCTACATACCGCTCAAGCCTTGTAGTCCCCATACCAAAATTATCGCCCTATATCATTGACCAGTTCTGTTTGCAAAACCATGGAACGAATGGTGAATAATAGATTAGTTTGATATCTGGAAACTAATAACTGCTCACAAATATACAGTGTGGTTTCATTTAGTACGGTTAGAATCCTTTGTTAAAAATGTTATTGTAAATTAAAAAATACGTATTATCAATTTTCTTTGTTCTTGAGAATGCATATGATACTACCTGGAAGCATGGCATTTTAAAGGATTTACACGATTTTGGCTTGAGAGGTCGTTTACCTCATTTTATATCATACTTTTTAACAGACAGGCAATTTCAAGTCCGAGTGGGTACAACCCTGTCTGATCATTATCAGGATCAGGGTGTCCCAGAAGGCAGTATTTTGTCTGTCACTTTATTTAGTATTAAAATAAATAGTCTGTCCAAGGTTTTAAATGATTCAGTATCTCGATCACTTTTTGTGGATGATTTTAATCTATCTTGCCGTGGGAAAAATATGTATACAATAGAGAGGCAGTTACAAATCTGTCTCAATAAAATTAACAAGTGGTCTCTCGAAAACGGGTTTAGATATTCTAAATCTAAAACAAACTGTATACACTTCTGCAGAAAATATAAGCCGCATAAAGACTCTGAATTAATTTTAAATGGCACCCCTATCAAAGTTGTAAAGGCGGCCAAATTCTTGGGACTAATCTTTGATAACAATTTAACTTTTTTACTTTGCTACGAAACACTTATGACACTTATAAATCTATACTTACAGATGGATCCAAGGATGGTGGGCCAGTTTCTAGTGCCACTGTCACAGTATCCAGAACAGTATCTTCACGATTACCCGATAATAGTTCCATATTCACAGCAGAAGCACACGCAATTTTAACAGCACTGAAATATATCAAGAACAAATCCAAACATAAATAATTCATTATTTTTTTCAGATTCACTTTCGTGCCTTCAGGCTATTAAAAATATGTCCTGTTAACATCCATTTTTAATTGAAATTCTTGAGTTATTTAATGATCTTGCGACTGGCCAATATGACATCGTCTTTTGTTGGTTACCAAGCCATGTTTGTATCACTGGTAACACATTGGCTGATGCTGCTGCAAAAGCGGCACTAAACAAATCCTTGACACCCCTTCTTATCCCATACACTGATTATAAACTTATAATTAGATCTTACATCCGTGATCTGATGCAAAAGAAGTGGGACACCCAAGTAGGTATCAATAAATTACATGAAATTAAACCGAATATTGGTTACACCTACTTGGGCTGCAGGTCATTTTGCGACGATGTCCTATTGGCCATTCGAGATATACACATGAATAATTCTTAAAAGGTGAGGACCCTCCGTTTTGCATCCCTTGTGATGAAAGAAACATAGTCAAGCACGTCCTGCATGACTATTGATTTTTCGATCAGAAGGGATAAATAGTTCAGTGTAAAAACAGTGAAGGACGTTTTTAGTGAAGTTCAATCTCATTTAATACTACCTTTTTTTAAAGAAATAGAACTTATTCATAAATGTTGATGTACTTACTGTATTGCCTTAAAAATTGGTAGTGCTAATAATGATTGTAAGTGGCTGTACCCTCGAGGGGGTTGAAGTAGCGAAAAATTATTGTCCCCCGAAGAGGGTATGTAAGTCCCATATCATTCGAAGTATTTTTATGCATGCCAGGCTTTTAAACGTAGATTATTCGTCATTTTAATCTTAGGCTTAACTGGTAAACTATCGCCAGTGACTGAAGGGATGATATAAATCCATCCAGGGTCCATGCATGAAGCAAAGGCACTGTAAGTCCCCATGGTTCCCAGTATGGTGATCTCCCCATAGTTACTGACGATCTCTGGCCCATTTTTATGTTGTGTTGTTCATTAATACTTATGACTTTTATATATTCTCAACTAGTTTTAAACAGACTCTGTGATATTCTAGCTATTGTACGGTCCATCGTTGACAGCTTTTTTTTTAAATTGTCTAAGTATATGTATTATTAATGTACTTCTCGTCACGATATGTCTGAAATACTGCCGGTGTGACGTTAAATCTTAACTCACTCACTATTGGCACTTCTTCGTAAAAGATAAGTATTGGTGATGTTGAGTAACTAACATGGTGTGGTTCTTCTTCAGGGTGATTCTGGCGGTCCTCTGTACTGCCAGCAGGACGGTCAACAAGTTCTGACCGGTGTTGTGTCCTACGGTGTTAACTGTGGTCAAGCCGGTTATCCAGGTGTCCACGCCAAGGTGTCCAGCTATGCTGACTGGATCGCTGCTCGTTCTGGCTGTTAAACTTTGGACGCTGTGTGCGATAAATACTTACAAAATAATTCATCATGTATTTGTCCTTTCATTCTAAGATAGAAAGTGGGTTGGTTGGTTTGTTGTAACCAATAAGCAATATTCCAGCTATATGACGGCGGTCTGTAAATAATCGAGTCTGGACCAGATCATCCAGTGATTGATATCATGAGCATCAATCCACGCATTTGGGATCGATGACATGCATCAACCAAGTCAGCGAGCATGACCACCCGATCCCGTTGGTCGCCTTTTACGACAAGCATAGTCACCTTTTGGAATACTGTTTGAAATCCAAACGTCCGACACCGCGGACCCGAACAAGTATAAGATTTGTTTGAACGGCGTTTCTCATGAAACTATTAACGCATTCACTCGATGGTACAAAGTTGAATTTGGCAAGACGACATGACTAAGCTATGTTATAACTCACCTGTAAAGGGGCACCTGCTTAATAACAATGCACCGTTATTAAACAATGTTAAATAACATCACGTGTGTTCGGGACTATTTTGGGGTATCAGGTCATTCGAACGAGGGGCTTCGGTAGCACTGTCAACTGATACTCTGCAACGTCGACTCCTGGGAGGGGGGGGGGGGGGGGGGGGGGGGGGGGGAATCTTCTCTCGATAGACACTACTATTTTTCACTAGAGTCACATGGACACACCACGCATGCAAAACAGGAGCATTGACATATTTGCCTGAAATATTTCCAGTCCGGTGGTTTTGGCAGTTGCATGTAACAGGACGCATACATTTGGGATAGGGTATACGGACTCTCACTTTTCATTGTAGGAGAGCAGGCATCGTGGGAATGTAAAGTTTCAGTGCATCACTAATAAAACAAAGTATGATCAAGGCCGTAATTAACTTTTTTGACGGGGGGGCACTGATGATGTGGCACTGACCAAGTGGACAGTCGTTTGAAATTTCGTCCTCGTGTCAACCGATGCAGCTTCGTGTCGTGAATCTGTACATGTCGTGCTCCGACATTGAACATATTGTGAAGCTTGAAGGTAATTGCTACCAATTTCAGAACAGATAAACCATCTGCTGACTCGTATGAAGGGATATTTTAGCGGTATGTTAAAAATATGCTTTGGGTTGTTTTCTCCCTCGTCGCTCTTCAGTTTGTGAATCAGTTGTGTGTGTGTGTGTGTGTGTGTGTGTGTGCGTGCGTGTGTGTTCTACACAACTCCAATAGCCAACGTAAACTGGCTGTAATGTTAATACATGACGCTGCCATATAGGTACACAGGAATGGTATCATGTCTTGCTATTCTAGTGTAATCATGCCGTTTATTCCTTCATCCCATCAATTAATGAGGCCTGCTTGTCTCACCAGATAAGTGCATGTTCTAATGTGTTAAACTGTAAAGGGAGGAAAGGGGCTAATTTCACTTTGTCATGTATACTCTTTAAAAATGTAGTGGATAGTCGTAAAGTAATTAAAATGTACAAATTTGTAGGAGATATTAGTTTCTGGTAATTCTTGTAAGCTGATAATGATGAAAGAATTGGGAACACCTTACTGCCGGTAAGTAAATGTTATGACCGCCAGCTGAGGACGATATGAGTAAGATGGGAAATTTCAAAGTTGACGTTTTTTTTTCGAGAATCTGCACTTTACTAAGACAGTGTTATCGCATTTGTTACATTTGACCACTTTCCTAAAGGCATTGTGTGTTCGTAGCCTTCGACCATGGGAGCCGTGCCAATTGACACTTGTCAGAGGGGTACACAAAGTACGTGATCTGGACTACCAGTTGTCGGACTTTCATTTTGTGGAGGCCTCGGTAGCTGAGTGGGTCAGATTGCTGACTTTGTGTGCTGGTGATTAGGTGACTCACTCTGGTAGTGTGGGTTCGAATCCCGTATGGGACTCAACCAAAAAAAGGACGAGAATCTGTACTTTACTAAGAAATTGTTATCCCAAATATAACATTTGTTACATCTGACCACTTTCTAAAAGGCATTGTGTGTTCGTATATAAATATTAATGAGGACGACATATATGCACAAATACCAGATACTATTTTTGAATGAATAATTGACTGAATACTAATTCCTGTCTAGCCTTGGAATAACCCTCAACAGAAACACCCAAGATAAAAGTCAACAATCACGGAAATAAACTCTACAATATATGTGAGAATAATAACGTGTATATATTTAATTGAAGAATAGGAAGAGGCATGAATTCTGTAAAACAACGTGTAAAGAAGAAAAACTTCAGAAAGAATTTGTTTCATCTGAGAAGTCTTCTTCGGGACACTACTCTAGATAACATTTCTACTATCAACAACACCATTGGGTGTGTGTGTGTGGGGGGGGGGGGGGGGGGGGGGGAGGGGGGGGGATCAATACACTCCATTTTCGTTCAGCTAAAGACACATTAGGATTGTCACATAATTCACGTGCGCCTACAAGACGAACCCGGGTCTTCGGCGTGACGAGCTAACGCTTCATCCACTAGGCTACCCCATCGCCCCACCAGAAAGAATATATTGACGAGTGAGTGAGTATGGTTTTATGCCGCTTTTAGCAATATTCCAGCAATATCACGGCGGGAGACACCAGAAATGAGCTTCACACTTTGTACCCATGTCGGGAATCGAACCCGGGTCTTCGGCGTAACGAGGTAACGCCTTTAACCACCAGGCTACCCGACCGCTCCAAAATATTGACGAAGACCCTTTATCAGACATTGATGTCCAGACATGAACATTATACGTAATGACAATCCGCTTAACGAACCCATCACAACGGAAGAAGTTATAATAAGCTGTTATTTATTAATTTGAAGAACAACACAGCCAGTGGTGAAGACACTACCGATAATAAATATGTCGCCGGATACATTAAGGTTAGTTGCCAAGAGTGATCTCTATTTTATTTTACGGACGCTTCATCTCTCACTCTCACTCCTGGTTATCTTACCAGCAGTATCTCAAGCCCATTCCTGGGGTGTGACGTGGACACTTTCAAATGTCACTTTTTGTCACGCCATAGACGAGGGAAGCCCTGCTTTCTCACTTGACTAATCAAGTCATATTGATGTCATTTATATCTTTTTACAGATAATAAAATCCTTTTAACCTATCGTCACCGCCTCAGTCTACTCAATTACATTGTTGGCAAGGACCCGCGATATCGCCCGAACAGGGACTGAGGTAGTGCCACAACTTCATCAACAACCTCATCACAAAATCAACATCAGCACGACCGATTTCACCCCTTCATCTACATCGAAGTTGTTATGGTCAATGTAATCATCGTCAGCAACTGTGTCATCCATATCGCCTGAATCACCCTAACAGACTTTTTAAGTATATACTTTGACATTTTAATGATTTTATAATCATAAATCTACGTTGTCAAGCTACGATAATTTATATTCAGACTGTGATAGACATTATATTCAGGCAAGTGTGTATTGTAATATCTCCACCTGTACTTGTGGTGTATGGACTCGGAACACATCCGGCAAAGTTGACAGGTGATTTTTACAAACTGCAAAGATGAACTTTAACATCTACTGATTGTGTATTACACTTCTGATTTCACCCTGGAAATGTGTATGCTGTGGAATTCTGACATTTATACTGTATGTTTATGCTTTGGTACCAGCTATATTTATGTATTAGTATTATATTCTTATAAATCCATATAGTAGATACTTCAAGTGTTTATTATGTGATGATAAGAATATTGACTAACACTGCAGTTATTTATTAGTAGTTAGTTGATAGTTACTCTAAGATAATCATTAGTATTTACCTTTAGTTATTAATGTTATAGTTAGATATTGGGAAACAATTAGACAAGCTGTATAAACGATGTCTACCTAGATAGTGTCTCATCTTGGACTTTGCCATTTAATTTCTAAGATTGTTTATTCATTATTCACTATCGTAACTTGGCGTTGGTTTTAGTATTTACTTCATTGTGTGAATGAGAATGAGCGCGACCCACATCACCGGCATTAGCATTTACTAATGTACACAAGCACTTGTTTTCGCGGTCACTTTTCGCGTTCCGTGCTTTCACAAAGGTGATGCATCAAGTGTTCCCTTAAAGGTGATGCATCAAGTGTTCTACTTTCACTAGGCCAGCGGGCTACAGTTGACACTATCGTGAGGAAACGTGAAGGTCTATATTGCACTTTGGATAATCCGGAATCACTAATGCAAGCTCTCTACACGACTCGTCAACAGGACTCTGAATCAGTTGCATCATGAGGAAATTAGATTGGAAACCCTACTACAGAGAGCTACAGAGAGCCACAGATAGAGGAAGCTACATTGATGCTACGTCGAGAGATAGTATTCTGAGAAATAAATTCTGGAGTGGATTATTTCGCGAAGCATTAAAGAATGCTACCCGACCTGCATTTTACTCAGGACAGGATTTCGAGGATCTTCTGCATCCAAGGATGAGATCCAAGGCCCCACAGCAACCACACGTCAAGATATCTCAGCAGTTATCAGACGTTATAAAGAGACTGGACAAGCTGGAACTAGCGCAACCAAACCAACAGCCCCAGATGGACAACAAACTTCTGAAGCAGATCTTGGATAGACTTTCAGTCTTTAAAGCCCAGAAGGATTCTTCTACAGTTACAGGTATCCAAGTTAGAGGCCGAGGTCGTGGTAGAATTCGACGTGGGAGACGTGGTGGTGGATCTTTAAACTAAAATGGCCTACTGCTGAAGGGCTAGTAGAGACCAATGGAAGAGACAGCCCTAACCCAACAGATGTACATGACAGAATGGACCCGTGAAGATCCGGGCTAGAATAGGTCTTCAGCAACCCATGCTTGCCGTAAAAGGCGAATATGCTTGTCGTAAAAGGCGACTAACGGGATCGGGTGGTCAGGCTCGCTGACTTGGTTGATACATGTCATCGATCCCAATTGCGTGGATCGATGTTCATGATGAAAATCACTGGATTGTCTGGTCCAGACTCGATTTTTTACAGACCGCAGTCATATAGCTGGAATATTGCTGAGTCCGGCGTAAAACAACAAA